TGCTTTGACCCAAGACATTAGCTGGTGACTATGAAATGTCAGGGTTCACCCTCCCACTCGAAGACCCCACCTCCTTTGTAGCGACCGACTCAATCGAAGAAACTGCTTCGCAGCACACACGAGGCCAACTCTTGGGGTGACTCTGCCTGCACACCTGCATAGCACCGTCGAGCTGTGATTGTCCGAGCTGTATGAACAGGGCCATTGAGATATTTCGAACGCTGTGCCAACTTGCCAAACACCCGTAATACATCGGGCAGCCGTGCAGTGGGGAGAGGATCAATCGGCCGCTGCTTGGCCACATCCAACTTGCTCGCATTGCCTTTGCTGATTGGATACGTGGGAAGAGGAGCATTTTGATGAATGGATCAAGATGTCATCATGTGCGGACGCTATTTGAAGTCATTGCACCCCACTAACGCTTTCCACCCTCCCCATCGGATCCTGTAGCTGCTGCAGCCAGCCAGCCAATCGCTTACAGAACGGGCCATTAAATGATTCTCTCTTCGTGAGACAGCTCGCCTGTTAGGGAGTCGTAGAGGACACGTTCCGTTTGAGAGAAGACGCGGCTGCTGCGTGTGAATGAATGAGCAATCGGTCATTGGTTGCACGTGTCGGGGTTGGGGGTGGGGGGAGATTGCCCTGGGTCCGGGGCGTTGGGCGTCCCCCTTTTAAAGGCTCGCGCAGCTTCACCGTGCCGCCCTGGCGAGACTGCAGCACCTCCACAGGGTGGCCAGTGCAGTGGAGGAATAGCGAAACCGCTTGTTGTTGTCTTTAGTTTTTTGTCCTTACCCCCCCCCACACCTCTGATTAGCACGGTTGGCTACGTGCGGTGTGAAAGAAGTTCAACATACATACGTGCGTACGTATCTGTGCTTTTGCTTTGCTTTCCCTGGGATGGGAATTGAGCGGTGCTGTATTAACTTATTGTAAATCGTTAATTTACACAATATTCGCGATTGCTGCAGCTAAGAGTGCGTGAACCGGCGGTGTGTATGTATTTATTTACGGGTTTGATATACGTTGCATGAATGCATGGTTCCGTAAACGTTTTAGATTTAAGATGGTTGTGTACGTGTTATCACACGTTTGCTAAGAACGTGTCAATCGACATCCTGGACACTCTTGCAAATGAGACGTTCCATCTCACCAATTTTTCCTTGTGAAATGTTTTTTTTAATAAGCGAAATAAAATTAATAATTGTCAACCGGTCAAAATCACACTCGGTAGATTGCTGTCAGGATGGCAATGTCTGTTGTTATTTTCTCTCTGATGCGCATGCTGATGCTTATTGAGTAGAAACATTTGGCATGCGGAAAAATGTCACGCTTGAAGGCGCACGCTTGCCGGTTTGAGGCCCCTATAACACTTATGTGTGATGGGCTTCTTAAAGACCTGCGTTGACTGCCGACTCACCACAATGCCAATTCACGGAAAGACTCACCTTTTGCGTTACGCCTGCCAGCTCATCTGTGTCTTCTGGCAGTTGCAGAATCTGGCTGTAAACCTCGTGTTGTGTGCGATGCAAATGTATGTATGTTGAACTTCTTTCGCACCGTACATAGCCAACCGTGCTAATCAGAGGTGCGGATAATATATGGTGTGCGTTTATTTTATTCAGGCGACATTAATATACTTTGATTCCTCGCAATTTTCACAGGATTACAATATTAGTATTTTTTATATACAGCGTGTTTCTTATACATTGTACATCAGGTAATTGAATGTAGTGTTAAGTAGGATTCATTTAATCATAGAAATGGTATAATAACAGTCATTTCTTACGGCTCTTTGTCAATCCACTGCTGGAGGAAGACATCCCCAGGTGGCCCAGTGGTAGAGCGAGCTGCGCTCAATCGGAGCGATATGAGTTCAAATCCTGCTTGGGAGTGGACTCAGCCCATCATCCCACTGGATAGATAAAATAAGTACCACATTGTGGGAAAGTCAACCGTGATTGTCCAATGGATGTAGATGTGTGGAATTTCCGCCACTGGCTCAGGGCTGTAACCAGGAGTTGAACACTGCCACCAATGCTCGTTTGAGCAGGAAATCACTCCGACCTTGACTCTTGACTTGACATGAAATGAGCGAGACGATAATGTCGCTGTGGCAGAGTGCTCAGCTGACAGTGGAAAGATTCAAAATCAAATACCTGTTGGGGTTCTTCTCCAACCCATCATCCCTCCAGGGCTAATACAATTACTACCACTTAGTGTGAAGACAGCACTGGTTATCCTGTAGAGAAAGTGAGAAGACCGCACTGGTTATCCTGTAGAGAAACTGTCCCTTTGGGAATGTCGAATTCCTTACACTGGCTCAGAGCATCTAACACAGATGAGTATCAACACATATCCTCGTTTGAATGTGGTATACGCGTCGCGTTTCTGTTTGTTTCACTGATGGCTATTACTGTCTTGCTTTGTTTATTATCTAGATAACTATCAACTGGATAGAATTGACATTTTCTTTGCCGGCATTTGCCATGGCACATTGGACTCAATAATAAATCCTTTTGATCCCCTGGTCTGTCCTCGCATGACACCACCTACGGTAATTGCTTCAACAAAGTACGAGGTGCTTCGTGAATTTTAAACATTCCCTTGTGATCGGTGGCTACAACAGAGAACGTGGCGTTTGTGTGATACCGCAGGGGTGCACATAGCATCGTTTAATACGTCACGTTTGATTCTGAAACGACCCTCGGGGCCAGCCGTCTAAGTTTAAATCACGTTCTTCTAATGCACACCATACAATCAAGCATGGCAGCAACGCAAAGGTTTTGTATTTTCATCCGTAGAAATGTTCATAGATATAATTTCAACGCCATGACCTCTTCTGTACAATTAAGCATTCATTTTTAAAATATGATAAAGTTTGCAACTTATTGCCCTAAGGTTATACCTTTTGCATTCAGTCATGCATTTCAGAACTGTAATTGTGTTGAATACAGTACTAAACATCATATGTAAATAACAGATATGTTACTTAGACCAACATACCCTCGTGCAAATTGTCAAAGTGCCGCTGTGATCCAGACGTCGCCGGTTCAATATCCTGGCGCTGCGGTCGAAACGATGGCGTCGTTTAACCTCCCATCCCTCTGCACCGAGCATAATAAATAGTCGATCGGTGGGTCGCGTATGTTGGGATATTAAGTGTGGTTACTCCCACCTCTGGCACGGATGGCGGAGTAGGCCATGATACCATCTCGAGCTGCTCTTTAGAACTTCCTCTGGTGGAGGTCTTTCCCCCATCAGTGGTGTGAGCAAGGCTGGTTGAAGTGCTCCAGTAGTCATCTGTTGACCCATTAAAGTCCCGCTGGTTTAGCAGGTTCCTCCCTTGGGATGTTTCAGGTGGTGTTTTTTCGAGTGAGGTATGAAACCAGAGAGTACACATCTATTTCTCATGGAGAAATTATAAGGCTCCATCTCTGCAAGGTCCACCAACCCTGCCTCCAAATTCTGGGTTGCAGGCACATGGCAACCACAGAAAACTGTGCTTGTTGTATTGTCATTGTATTATATTGTCATTGAATTGTATTGTCATTGTATTGTCATTGTGAACATAATCATTGTCCTTTCATTCCTGTTCCACAACAGTACATAATGAGTTATTTTATACGGTACTGCGTTCTGCGCTGAACAGGGCCCCATCGTGAAGATGGAGTGCCCTTGCCAGTAGCATTTCACGAGCCAGTCGTGTTTTGAAAGCTTGACTCTGCTGACTTAAGACACAAGCTTGACTGTCAATGAGACCCATAACGTCAACACCAGTCCAGCGATTTTCTTGCCGAAACAAATACTGCTGAATAACATGACCCAGTCAAATAAATAAGTAGATCGACCGCAATATTTTATAAGGAGGGATGATGGAAAGTGTGATTTATTACCCATAATGCTCAACAACTGCACGTGATAAGATTGTATACAGTGCATGGTGATGTTCTTTGAGTAGTTTTTATTAGAATCTGCACTCTGCACAGATTTTATATGTATAGTACTGCCTTTTTCCCACGTGTAAGACTCGTTGTTGCTCTCCTGGATCAATAAATAATATCACTCTTTTATTGTTATGTGCAAAAGCTCTGGTCATTGCCTAAGTTTCAGCTTTTCACTTTTGGTTCATCTTTTAACGTGTATATTGCCTGCTCGTGCGTTTTTAAACATTGTGTGTGGTCTGCCATCACTTCCTAACATTGTGTGTGGTCTGCTATCACTTCCTAATTATGGCAGCTGCAGATGTACTGCATGGGAGTCGCGGTATACATTATCTTCTATTTTTGCGTATGATGGCAGCAGTTTGTGTTGGCGCTAAATGTCAATATCGAGGTCTGATAGCCACGAGAGGGCTTCAGGAGAGGGTTTGTGTAGTTTTGCTGTTCCTCGTCCTCCGTTGGAGGAGTGCAGACAACACTGGTTCACTATACTGTCCATAAATTTTGATTTAAAGCTTTCGTGACTGCAGGGATTCATATTCTTGGTTCTTTCGGTAAAGTCACGTAGAAGGGAAATAATAAAATAATATTTATATAAAACAATAAAAATTCTCACGATGTTTCGACTGCAACACAAGCAATCATCATCAGGTGTGAAATCCACAGCAAGAAAATAAAAAAAAGTAGATTTCACATCTGATGATGATTGCTTGTGTTGCAGTCGAAACGTCGTGAGAATTTTTATTGTTTTATATTTATATTATTTTATCATTTCACTTCTACGTGACTTTACTGAAAGAACCAAGAATTTACTGTCCATAGTTTGGGTTGCATGGCCACGATCACACTACTGTTGCTTGTCCTTAATTATCCATTTATGAAGGAGATATGCACATCGGCCTGGTGATGTTCTGATGTGGTTGATCATTCCACCCGTGTCTTCGAGGAATATCAAAGCCACGAGGTGTGATGTTTGGGCCTCAAATGAGGTGTTTAATCTGGATTCGATCAGACATGATAATGAAGACGATGTATGTGTGTGTGTGTATCATCCCTGCGTAGGTGCTGCAGGTGGTGCGTGAACAGATTGTGCGGTGTCTCCAAAACAAACCCAACTCCATGGACCAGTTTCGCCTTCACCTCCATAACTTGGGCTACGCGGAGATCCTCAAGATCCGCCAGTCGGAGCGCATGAACCAGGAGGAGGGCGACTTCAAGGCCGCACCCATCATGTGAGGGCTCGCCCGCGTGTTCTTTTACACGCGGACGAACTAAAGTGCAAAGCGTTGAGGGGCATGCTCGCTCCCACGCCGGAGCCGAGTTCCACTGTCCCTGTTCATGAATACCTCGGTCCCTTAAGGTCCGTCGTTCGGTGGGTGTAAGCGTTATTTAACGTAAGCGATGAAACGGATGCAGTCCATGTTTGTTTATGTATTTACACTTAAACGGTTGGATACCTAGACGAAGGCGTCCCAGCAGCATTTATCATTGCCTGTCATTTGGTAATTCGTGTTACAGTTACCACATTGCTTGTATAACACCCCTCCCCATCACTGGAGAGGGGTATGTTTGGAGTAATAGCGAAGCACATAGGTGCTCACGGACATTACTTGTCCCAGTAGTCTGTTATGTATAGATGTTGAACTTCTTTCACACCGTACGTCGCCAAACGTGCTAATGGGAGGTTATAAGGGGATCACTGTCTTGGTGTGTGGGGTAATAATGCAGTGCGTTGCCGACTTTACTTCCCGTTCGATTCCCACTCATGGCCAACATCCATGACAATTATCTGAACCAGTCCTGGGCCTCCCCTAGGTCGACTGAACCTCAAATGAGTACCTGGTGCTGTGTGTAAAAACATCGGCACTGAGGAGACAAAGGCGGCCTTGCGTGGCGATGGCCACCCCATCCCCTCGTGTGCCGTCCTTCATAGGTGCTGCTCGCTAACGGCACAGTCTGTTGATAATTAAGGGGGGGGGGAGATCTTCGTCTTCATGTGTGTGTGTGTGTGCGTGCGTCCGTGGGTGTGCCTGCACGCTTGCTCCCACAGAGAGCTGCGCGAGAAGATCCTGCCCGAGGTGCTGGAGCTCATCAAGCAGCAGCGCCTCAACCGACTGTGTGAGGGCACCACCTTCCGCAAGATCGGCAAGAACAGGCGCCAAGGTTCGATTCCCGCTTCGCCTCCGCGGTCTCGCGGCCGCGTTCACCCTGAGCCGCTGCCACGCGGCCTCGCTCGCCGCCGGCCCGGAAAGGCGCTCGGTCTCGGCGCATCTCACCCCCAGCAGCCGTGCAGGGTTGAGCCGGCGTAGCGCTTGGGATGGACGGCCGCCGTGCGTAACGGCGTGCGACAGGCTGCAGGACTAAATTGGCGGACGGCGGAATGCAGTGCGGCAACGTCCATTGTTGTGCCGTGTTGTGTTCCCGCATCTGTGCCGCCCACCTTCACCGGCCTGCTCTGACCAGCATGGTGAAGCATGGATAGGGTGTGGGGCCTCCCTCATCCAGTAGTGGATTTCCACAGTGCTGAACGTGTACATTGTGGTAATAGCGCGGTGGTGGCCATTCATAATCAACGTTTTGGGGTTTAGATCGCGTTATTTATAAATGTGTCGTAACCCTCCACCACCCGACACGGCCAATCAGTAAAAAAGTGTCACGTTGACAAAAGACAAATAGTTCACTGCTTTAGCCCACCGGTGTGTTGAAGCGTGAAACCACAACATTTACAATTTGAGTACGACGTTTCGCTGGTAATTGCATCCAGCATCATCGGGCACGTGACCTGTACTCCGGCACTGTGGAGGCGGTGAGGTTTCGTGGATCACATGCATCACGTGTTGTATAACTCTCTTCCCGTGGGTATCAAGATGCCATGCTCTGGCTTTCCAGGGGAAGGTGGTACAACAAGAGGATTGCTCTTCATCTATTCCCATCTGTGTGTAATAGAGCGGTGCCTCCCTCACACACGTGGCTTTTCTCCATGTGCTCTAGTTTCCTCACACACGTATACTCATTACTTGACCGATAACACCTTAATATATATAAGGCCATAGAGCTCGGGGGGGATTTTGGTGTCAGCTCACCGCCTGGTTGCCTTCACGCTTGTCTGTGGTTCCCTGCACCGCCGAGTCGTTACGTCTCTACGAGAGCGAGTGAAGACTGTGCACGTTACAGGTCTTAAATGTTTATCACGCGATTATTGATTTCCGTTGCGCCATCTAGCGCTGTTGCTGAACGCGCCCGACGTTCCAATTGAACTCAATAACACTTGAGTGGTGCTTTCTCCAGCAGACAAGCTGTGGTACTGCCGGCTGTCGCCCAACCACAAGGTACTGCACTACGCGGACGTCGAGGAGGGCTCCAAAGCGCCGGCGATCGAGGCCCTACAGGAGAAGCGTAAGGCGGCAGCACACACACACGAATTATCGCGAAGTGCGCACAGTGCGGTCTTGCTTAGCCAGTGCGCAGGCAACAAGTCGACAAGGTTTCCCACTCGCATGAGCATGGCACCGCACTGTTTTGAAGCCTGAGCCAATTCAAATTGGAGTTCTCAAGTAAGTGTGTATGTGTGCGTGTTGAACTTCTTTCGCGCACCGTACCAAGCCAAACAGTGCTAATGGGAGATGCGGGAAAATCGCAGGTGTGGCTTGAGTTGATAGCGTTAGCCTGGTCACGAATGACTGCAAATAAAAAAAGATGATCCTAGTCTGGCATTTGCTGTATTGTGTGCCACCGTCAATTCCCACTGCGTTCTGCGTTTGTATTTGCACGCTCGCACAGTTCACCGATGCGTTTTTGGGTCGTACCGCGTGCTGTTTCGGCACGACGTCCGACGTTTCACTCCACCTGCTGGGAACCTTTTCCTGAAACTGAATTCAAAGCTATCGAGCGGGGCGGCTGCGAAAACCTACGCTGGGGTTCCCTCCCGCCGTGCCGTGCATCGCCGTCACCCGTCCTTACTCTCCCCTCCTTGTGTTTCGCCTCCACCCGCCAGTGCCGATAGCGGACATCAAGATGGTGGTGATGGGAAAGGACTGCCCACACATGAAGGAAGTTCGCAAGAGCAAGGTGCCGTGCTTGCGCTCGCCACACCGACCCGCGTATGCGTTAACAGAGCGGTAATCGGCAGCGCTGCCAGGCTGAACGTCGAATTTATATGGGTCGTTAAAATAATGAGCTCGAATTGCTGCGGATACACGCGGTTGATCACCGCTTGCCCGAGCGAAACACGTGCCGCGTTTTTCCTATTTGAACGACACGCCACGACCTCATGATCTACTCTATTACAAGCCGAGTTCACTTGAAGTGACCGGTAATATTGACACGAAATCACCACTGTCACCACAGTTTATTCACTCTTCTTGCGTGGCACATAATTGTCCTGTGACCGACGGGCGCAATGTGGCATTAGAGGACCGGCGCACCAGCTTTCCCCGCCGACTGACATGGCGATGCTGGATCTTAGTGTCCAAGTCGGCCCACGGGCTCGGGTGCTTGCAGTGGCGGATAAATATTGCGTGTGGGCCGTTTTCAAGTGGTGGGCCTCGTGTGGTCACGAGCCGACGGTCCGTGGCCCCGTGGTCTCCCCCCCCCCCCCCACCACCCATATTTTGATGGTCTGCGTAACGAGCTGCACGTGGTTTTGTAGAGACGTTTTGTTATCGCCATCAAATATCGACTGTGCGATGTAGTCACTGCGGCATTGTTAACGACGACGCATCACGGCGGCGTGTATGTTTGGATGTGGTGGTGGGCGGCTCGCAGGATGTGATGGACCTGGCCTTTTCCATTCTCTACGATCCCGACGACGCTTTGAACTTCATCGCCAAGAGCCCGGATGAGGTGGGTCCGGACACGCGCACCAACGTGAACAGTTATGTCAGCCTGTTGCATTGTGGATGCATGTTCGTATTGTTTTTTTGTCGACGTTCAAGGTGTGTGAATATAAAGTATGTCGTAGTGTGCAACTAAACGTGTGCCTCTGCACATGCATGCTTGTATGAAAGCATTGGCATTCGCATGATCGTTCATATGGCTATGTCTTTAACTGCGTACAGTTTTTATTTTTATTGTTGGTGATTAAGGATTATTTTCCTAATGGAGAGGTTAGCCCTGCCTATGTACGTGTAAAGCCCCTTTGTCAATCCACCGCTGGATGAGGTTCTGCACACGCCGTGCAGGTCATGGAAGTCACTTGTCTGCACTGATTCCCGCACCGCTCAGCGCGGGTTGAGGAAGGGAACATAAATACGGCAGCATCGAAGTACAGCACAACGATGTGTTTCGCTTAATTTCCCCCTGCTCCTCAACGTAGCCCTGTAGCTCGATCAGCCCTCTCCGTAGGAATAAGAGACCTTACCACCACTGTATCCGAGCCACCAACTGAGCTGAGCACCACTCTGGGCTCATTCGCGTAGGGAGGCGCCGAACTTTTTTTTCGTCTACTCAACCGTGGCTTTGTGTGGATTGCCACCGCCTCACGCGGCGCCTCGCAGCGTTTTTAAGCGTTCGCCGTCACCCGTGTGCGACGACAGTACTGCGTGTGGACGGACGGGCTCAACGCGCTGCTGGGCCGCGAGATGGTGAGCAAAGCGACGTGCAGCGACCTGGAGGTGTTGCTCAACATGGAGATGAAGCTGCGGCTGCTGGACCTCGAGAACATCCAAATTCCCGAGACGGCGCCCGTCGTGCCTGTCCCGCCCAGCAACTACGACTTCACCTACGACTTCAGCTGAACGCCAAACTCTCTCGCCTCGAACCACAACGTCGGCTGATCGCTGACCTCTCGCATCACCTACGGCTTCAGCTACGACTTCAGTTGAGTGCCGATCTCTCAGCACATCCCGAGCGAGCACAGCCCGGACCCCGCACAGTCCACGCGCGGCCAATCGTGATGCCGCTGACCAAGCCGTGGCCCTCGGCTCTGTCTGCCACAGCCACAGCACCTCCTAACCTGGATCGCAGTGCCAGGGCTAACCCAGTGTTGGACAAACCGGGTCTAATCTTTTAGTCCTTGGGACCATGCCTTACCTTACCCAAGTCTAACTTAAAGGAGGTTGCAACCCAACAAAAAAAACTGCAGTTATATTGTTTATACGTATGTATGCCTTGTGTCCTAAAGGTGCGTTAATAAGAATTTAGTTTCGTGCTAATGCGACTTTCGGATGCACTGCCACACACCGCCTTGTGTTGACATCATTGGGGTGTGGTTGCATTAAACCACGAACGCCTCATGGAGGGCCGAGTGTCCCGAGCGGACAGCAGGGAAACCGTGCTCCCTACGACTCGCTTTGAACATTGTGACTGCAATTGTTTTCTGTCTCGCAACTTCCTTTAAACTGGCCACATAGCCCAGCCGTGATCCACGTACGCTTCTCCCGAGTGTATTACCGCTAGTTCTAGAATGTTACATCCAGAACAGGACATAGAAATGGCTCCACCCAATCTGGGTTTAGAATATCTTGAAGGCCGAGGCCCTGAATCCAAACCCATTTGGCCAAACGAGGAGATGGGGCTGGGGGGGGGGGGGCAAGTTCTGTGCTGCAACTGCTGGTTCCGACCTTCACTCCACGTGAAGGGCGGAGCTGTTCGCAGCTCTGCAGCTCCCTTACCCCACACTCGTAAAGCATGGGAGAGCGATGATTTCAAGATCAGTCTGAACCTGTTTCATTGGCATTGTACATAGTATGAGATACATTGTCTCATTCTTGGGCAGCCTAAACCTTTAAGCTAGTTGATAAGATGCTCATGAATTGCTTATTATCGGCAAGGAAAAGCCTTCAAAGTACCGTTCGGTATTTTATCTCCATATCACTGTGAAAGTGCAATTATGCCTCACCAATGGGTGCGTGCATCCACATATCGATACTTGTGGCTTGATCGGTCAGCAATCATGCTGAGGTTAAGTAATAATTAATCAAAGTAATGCAAACGTGAACACGTACATTTTGACTGGCTTATTATCATTAGGTATACATTACCAGATGGATACCAGCTTGTCAAAACAGTACTGTTATATTAAGTTTTTAACTCCTTAAATGAATTTAAAAAAACATTTCACTGCACCCGTATTTTAAATTAAACTGCATGGACATGATTTGTATGTCTTACAAAAGAAGATTATGCCTCCATCGTATTTAACTGCATGTTAAATCAGATACAGACACACGTGGCAAATACCCATTGGTCTTGCGTGTCCCTGGCATTTGTAGCAACGTATTAAACCTGCATAACAGGTGTTAAAGGCTACAGCTATACATGGTGAGAATCAGAGGGCAATGCATATAATTCTTGTTTTGTCAAACTTGCTGTATTCACATCTGTATGTATGTATGAAAAGAGTTTGTGCTTTTGATGTTCTGCACTTGTTCTGCACATGGTGTGCACTCAAACATACTCTTTTGCACAGGAATGGCAGATGGTAGATGGCAGCAGACCTTTAAGCATAGACTCCAGGGTTCATGGCTGGCGTTGTCGGACCAATGACAACGCGAGAGTGAGACTACGAGGTGGGGCTGCGGCGTCCGCGGTCATCTCGGTCATGCAACCCACGGCACCGGCAGGTTCGGTACCGTGACCTCCTGCCAGCGAGCCTTCGATGCTTCACGTGGCCTCCACCTAGCCTGGCACAAGCGCCGTGGTGATGTCACCGCCGCTTGGTGGCGGATGGCGGCTGGTTTTTTTGCGCCATTTGCATTCGGGCCTACCGTGGAGCTGCTCCAGCCTTTCGAGGCTGAGATTCACCGGCTGGTGGATGCTGGTTGTTCTTAATTGGACTCTCGATGCAGGAGAGACTCCAGTTTACAATTGGTTTTGTAAATCTGATTATAATGAGGTACGGTGGAACATTTTAATCTCGGAATTCCGTAACACTCCTTTCATGTATTTTTTTTAATGGGATGATGATTTTTCCTAAAAGAGCCATGCTGCAAAACATGGATGATTGCACATGGGCTGTGGACCAGCAGCCTCGGGTTTTCTTCTGTAAAAAAAACTACATTGGTAAAACATCTTGCCTTTCCATTATTGATTCACATAATTAATTTCTCTTTAGAGCTTATGCACGATAATCATAACCGGTGGCAAAATATGAAATCAGCCTGTGACCTAGGGCTCCCGCCTCTCTCGCATACCAAATTTTCGGCATATTTCTTAGTCAGCCATGTCTCGGTACAAATCAATCCCAGGCACACGAACACACATGCCAATTTACAGACTGCGTTGGTCAAACCCGGACAGGTGGCTGTCTTGTGAGATACTCGCGGCGGGTCGAGGGCTGGCGTTGCAGACCACAGAACTCCATAAAGTATGAGCTGGCTTGCGATGATAATAATAATCATTGTAGGCTGTCAGAAATCTCTTTTCCGTGGGGTGGACTCTTTATCAGTGATGGCTGGGCCCTGGCTCGATATTTAGGAGTAACACCTGCCTGAGCTCAAGTGTATGTTCCCTCTTCTTGGTTCTTTCGGTAAAATCACGTAGAATGGAAATAATAAAATAATAAAAATTTAACATAATAAAATAATTTACAGAATTATTCTATTATTTTATTTTATAATGTTTTATTTTTATTATTTTATTATTTCCCTTCTACGTGACGTTACCAAAAGAACCAAGAAGATGAATCCCTGCAGTCACGAAAGCTTTAAATCGAAATGTATGTTCCCTGTTGGCACTGCTTATAATCTGCTGCACACAGAATGCCGTGTATATAGGCATAGCCTCTGAACGTTATCTTAAGTGTGTGCTTTCAGCTAGGAAAGTTGTGTAGGTGTATTAGGGCATTGCTTTTTCACATTTTGCTACACTGGCATTTCCGCTGTTAAGTTTGGCCGACAAATGTGTAGAATCCTGTCGTAAATGCAAATACAAATGCTGCAAAATTGTTTCGGCGAGCTTGTAACAGCAAATCAGTTTAATACGTAGGCTTTCGCGACCAATATTATCCATGATAGAGGTTTTTGGGTTAGAGTGTGTGAATATCAATGTGTCGTTCAACCTGCTAATTGTGAATGTTGTGGGTTTGCTCTCCAACACACCAGTGTGCTGTACAAGCAACGAATTGGCATGTTGTGTTCACGTGGCAAACCTTACTTATTGACTGTGTCAGGTGATGGCGGGTTTAACCACACATTTATATTTATGCGATCTAACCCAAAAACCTATTATGGATTAGCAAAGCAAGCTCAAATGAAACAGGTACTGAATCGTTATCATACCGGTAGTGTAACGGGTGAGAGCATCACTCACACACAGTGATGATATCAATGCAAGTGGCACTAAATGGGGGCGCAGTTGGATTATGAGGTTGCCTACTCTCACTTCGCACCGGGCTTGTGTGACGTGCACAGCACACTGTTGCGGTTGGCACGTGTCCTGCTGTGGATGACCACATTTTGCGAAGTTTCGTGAATATATCGCATTCTGTTCGACTTGAGTTCACCAAAAGGGGCTATATGCCACTGTGACGATAATGACAATATTAATTATTGACAAATTATTGTTTTAATTTAAATATAACTGATGCAATCTATGGTGTGACACAAGCCAGTGGCTAGTTGTTCCGAGGGTCAGCGTTCTCCGTGACTGCTGCAGCACATAGTTGTCTGCTCCACGTGTTTTGTTCAGAGCAGGGGTTCTCAATGATTTTGTGTTTTTATGCCCCCCCCCCACCGCCAGTCAAGACTACTAGCCTCCTGCGCCGCACCCCACCCAGGGTACTAATGGCACAATACACACAGAGCTTTCGTACCCCCACGCCTCGAGTCAACGAGCCATTCGCGAGGCATTTGTTTTGGGACATGTGTTCACCCAGGGTACTAACGACACAATACACACAGAGCTTTCGTACCCCCACGCCTCTAGTCAGCGAGCCATTCGCGAGGCATTTGTTTTGGGACATGTGTTCACCCAGGGTACTAACGGCACAATACACACAGAGCTTTCGTACCCCCACGCCTCTAGTCAGCGAGCCATTTGCGAGGCATTTGTTTTGGGACATGTATTCACTCAGGGTACTAACGGCACAATACACACAGAGCTTTCGTACCCCCACGCCTCAGGTCAACGAGCCATTCGCGAGGCATTTGTTTTGGGACATGTGTTCACCCAGGGTACTAACGGCACAATACACACAGAGCTTTCGTACCCCCACGCCTCTAGTCAGCGAGCCATTCGCGAGGCATTTGTTTTGGGACATGTATTCACTCAGGGTACTAACGGCACAATACACACAGAGCTTTCGTACCCCCACGCCTCGAGTCAGCGAGCCATTCGCGAGGCATTTGTTTTGGGACATGTGTTCACCCAGGGTACTAACGGCACAATACACACAGAGCTTTCGTACCCCCACGCCTCGAGTCAACGAGCCATTCGCGAGGCATTTGTTAAGCGACGTGTATACACCCAGGGTACTAACGGCACAATACACACAGCTTCCGTACCCCACGCCTCTAGTCAACGAGCCATTCGCGAGGCATTTGTTAAGCGACGTGTATACACCCAGGGTACTAACGGCACAATACACACAGCTTTCGTACCCCCACGCCTCTAGTCAACGAGCCGTTCGCGAGGCATTTGTTTTGCGTCGTGTGTTCAGTGTGTTTTGTGGTCCCAACGCCGGTATCCATGCCGCAGCCTGTGTCTGACCCGGAGGTTGAGAACCGCCGGTTTAGACCAATCCACGAATGATATAGTCTGCTCACGAGGAGCCCATGAAATGGTTTGCGTTTGTCATACGACACAATTGTCGTCTTCCTCTTTAAAGCTGCTGTATTTCTGTTGAGTGGAAAGCACAATTCTGGATGTGGTTTTATGCGATGAATTGTAAGAACTGTGTCACTCATTTCAATTTTCAAAACGTGACCCGACTCTTTAAAAAAATTTTGCTCGAGAATTGTGCTTGTAGTTGGCAATTTACCATTTGGGTTTCCAAAAATGTAAGATGTAATTTTTATGTTTTTCAATGTAAGCTACAAACTGTTGTTGTTTGACAATTTAGAGGTGCAAGGGTGTTGCGTTTTCACGCACCTAGTGCCAGTTTTGCCTATTTAAAAAAATGGCATTGGAAATTTAAACGGTTTTTTAATTTTACTTAGATCATACAGAATACTCGTGTAGGTTGTGAGTGATTGATGTTGTACTCTGCAGCTGTTCACCCGATTACAATGCGTGTGATGCTGCAGTGGAAACCTCCAGAATCACATCTTGTCATGGGGAGTCGGTTCTAATACTTGTTTATTCATGTCACAGGGATTTCCTTCTCAAATGAGCACTGAGCCAGTGGGAGGAGTGGTATTCCATTGGTGGCGAGCGTGGCTATCCATAGGACAGCCACTGTGTAATTCCCACAGAGTGGTACTTGTTTTATCTACCCGGTGGGATGATGGGCCGAGTCAACTCCCAACCAGGATATTATGTCGGAACCTTCCGATTGCGATTCGCTCGCTCTACCGTTGAGCCACCCAGCCAAACAACCGAGCTCAACGTGAGTGATGCTGCAGTGTTAGGAACCAAGTCCCCATTACGCATGTATACTGTAATGGTATCACTGCAATGCCTTTATTGACTTTGATATCCAGCCGCTGAACTTACTCTTGCAGTGGTGATCACCAGAACAAATGTTGCATTTGTTAGTTTTTTATTTTCCAGCAATATCTGCAAGTTTAGATACTTATAAATGTTTTAATGTAAAAAGGGTGATGTTTGGGAGTAACTGGGTATATATAAATGTTTGTTGGGATCTGGGGTTAATCGAACAATAATAATAACATGTTTTATCCATTTCAACTCTTGTATCGGACCATAGAATGATCCAAATTTGATCAACATTCTAATATGTTACTTCCTAAAATCTTGCACTGTGTCCCTGGGAAATGCCACCTATAGATTTTGTTTAGCCTGCAAAATCTTTGTGTGCTCTTTATCTTTTAAAGATTTTTTAAATTCTGGAAACTGCTGAACTGAAATATAAATTTTAAATATGTTGCCAAGTGGAAAGATGCGCTGAAATGTTCCGCTGCCGATAACGTTGTTGCGATGACACAAATGCGTCGGTGTCAGCTTTTTTGTTGTTATTTTTGGCAGAGGAAGTTCCAATGTCACCCGTTGCCAGCGATGTGACAAATCACCGAAGTGGTGAAACTTTTTGGCCAATTCGTCTTGATGTAAATCTGGCCCTTTACCATTTATTCACAATGCATATTGTTCGTGTACAAGTACCATCATTCGTACTGACTGCAACCATTTTCTGCTCTGATTTTTAAAACACCATTCAAGGTGTCACCGACGTTGCACGACTATACTCGTCTATAGACCGTATTCTTTTCAACCAAATTTTAAGTTGCAGTCAACTTTCAACAATGCATTTTAATCATCGTAAAAATCTGTCCTTTTTGCTCACGTCACATTCATCCATTAATTCTTGTGAGAATCGATTATTTACAATTGTTGCACATTACATGCTAAAGTCACATTTAGGCTAATGGAGTGCACGAAACATCCAAGAAATAAATAAAAAGTCCGTTCTTGAATTAAGCTGTGACCCTTAATCATGACGATGTGTTACACCGCAAGTAGGCGGTAGGGGCATCGCGTTACACGAATGGCGAACACGCTCGCCAGTGCCCCTGCAGTGTCCGTCTGCATCAAGTCCATCGCAGTCTGGGAGTTTGCCCCGTACGGTGGAGTGCCACGTACGGCTAGTCTTGGATTTTTCGAACTGCTCTGCCTTGGGACCATCATTAACACCATTAATCTATAGGTCAGCACCAATATGTGAGCCAATGTATTATCTCCGTTACAACAGCATCACGTGGTGCTGCTTGGGGATGTTAATAGTGACTGAGAATCCTCTACGTGTTCTGACTTCCCAACTCTGCCATCTCCCTGATGAATTTGCATTTAATGTGCATGGTTTTCGCCAATACAACAATTGCCATTTTCCCAACCGAGTTTCCGGAGAGCATGCAGCAATGAAAATGTCTACATTCTTATCCTAAAATCTTGCATGCAATGTGTCGTTGGGAAAACACTGCATTTGCATGAGCGCACGCCTTTCTTTTTTTACTCTTCTGCCAAATTTCAAATATTGCCACTCTATGTGCAACCCAATGTGTTATCAATGTACAGAGCATCCCATTGTATTGTCAATAATAGTGACGTTAATTAAAATGTGTGTTTCAATGGAACATGAGCAATATTAATACTGTATAATTTTGGTGATGATGATGGTGATAATTTTGCTGGTCTGCCAAACATCGGTGTCCCGAAACACTTTACTGTTATGCTGCCAATGCTTTTGTCGATGTAGGATAAACTAGCGTTCAATTATTTAAATGCCCAGAAATAATTAATTCACCTGTCCTTTTTGCAAGTGAAGAGCCTAGTGTGTGCTGCGGGAAGCTCTGTGCTTGGACTGAAGATGTCAACCCAGAGTGGCCCTGCCTCCCCACGTGTTGCTCTGTGTGTCCGCGCCGTGCTGTTCGAGTCTCCTGGTGTTGTCAACAATAACGAGAGACTGCTTGCCGTGTCGCGTCACGTGACCCGCATTACACTCTGCCGATGTTAAACCGGTCGTCGTGTCCTAAGGGAACATCCGGCACTGTTGGCTGTGGTGACACACATCCTGTGTGGTCTAGTGTTGCTGAGGTGAGGTTGGAGAATTGGAGATGTATACGTTTTCTGAGCCTGCCTTACCCTCCGGACTGCGAGGGTGGACAGATGATGGCAGCATGGAAAATAAGTTCCTGAACTTGTGCAGAGTTTTAGAGTTGTTGTCTCTTTGTCGGCGTGGGTTGTCTCTTGGTTTCTTATCACTTGTAAAAATTATGTCAGTTTTACGATTTTTTTGGTGCCATTTACACAAATAATGTTTAAAACAGTGAATCACAATGAACAAAGTGAAGTGTATGATGTATAAATGAACTACTGTGCTTTTTAAAGAGCCCCATTCGAATTGTAAATACTTTGGACGTAATTTTTTTGACGAGTTATAAACATCAGATTATTTACTGAATCTGTAAGACACATTGTGTGATGTTGCTTGCATAATTTGCATGATGGTAGAAGCAAAAAAACGTTCTGAAAATTTGACCTTAATCACTTGGTCTTTTGACTCTAATTAGTGAATGTTAATTTGGTGCAAGTGAGGGGGGGGAGGGTATCAGTCTGTGCCGTACACACTTGAACATATTTTTTCTTTATACGGTGCATTGTTCACCACGAAATAAAACAAGTACATCCGTGATACTGCACCTTTTATGAAACCTGGAATAATGCACGTGTGTAACTGTACGGTACAACAATTGTTTTTGTTTAAGTATCCACGCTTATAGGGTGTTATTGAGGCCATAATTACCTGTCGAGACAAGGAATATACATACTCAACAGCTTCTTGGCTCTGAGAAAAGAGAATCGTTTATCTTTAATAAATGAGAAAATAAAATGTCAGCTGTCGATGAAAACTGTACGGTTATATTTAATGGTGGCTTTGCTTTTGCGGGCGGTTTGTACATCCCGTCCATTAAGGGATTCTGCTTCAGTACCCAACATTTGCTTTCATAACTCAAGACTATTAAAGCTTGCACTTTCTTTCTTTCTTAGCCATTTTAATAATTTAACGTTTTACCATTTCAATCGTTTGTTTGACACGTGAAGGTATTGTCCGATTTTCATTTGGCAAACATCGTTTTTGAGCCTGATTTAATTGAATCTAGGTTTGAGGTTTTCGTGACTCAACAGCAAAATTGTATCTTTAGTCCATCAACAGGGGAAAACAACCTTTTGCTAAGCTGGAAAGCAGTCCCGTTCTGTATTTTAAAAGTATAACATTACATATGAAATACTGTCATTCATTTGAGTTATACTTAATTTCTGCATGACTTCAATTTCCTATTATTTGAAAATGTGAAATGTTGAAAGTCATTGGGTGCCCATCAGCATATGCGGTTCCGCTTAAAGCAAGGTCTGATAAGTATGTTGCATCTGCTGTTCCGGTACAGGCTGTGTGCGTCACTGCGATTCTGCAGGGTGGAAGGGATATTATCGCTTGCGTGCTTGAAGCCTCCACTGCGGCGTTGCTTTAGGTGCAGCTTGTTATGGAATCACACGTTACCTTAAACCCACAATTTCAGTGCAAGGTAATTTGTAAAATAAATTGTGAACAATGAAACATTTGGTTGCTGTTGTGTGTTTGGTTCATTGTGTTTTTTTGTTTGTTACCATGCATAGGCCACCTCTACATAATACTAGGCTCAGTCAACCATTCTACACAACAAAGACTAATTTCCTGGCAGCGATTTCAGCCGCATCATCTCTACATAACAAAAAGGCTCAGTCCCTTTTACATGCACCTTTACATCATCCGCACCTAGTTTACACAACAAAGGCCCATTCCTAACAGCGTGCTTCAGCCGCACCAAACCTCACAAAAATAATATTCAGGGCCTACCTTGGCTCCTCCCACCCTCAACCAGTATATATAAAAATACGGGTTTCTTGGAATTTCTCTCACTTGATACAGCTATCGTGCTGTGACGGTTCCACCTGAAGATGGAAGCTTGTGTTGCCTCCTAAACGTCGTGATTTTTATTTTATTTTACTTTTATTAATTTTAACTTTTTACCTACGTGACTTTACCGAAAAAGCCTAAGAACAAGAAAACCATCCCTGTGAAGTGTGAGAATCTGGAGTATTGTGCACCCTCGAATAAATTGAACGCGATGAGTTCTTAGATTGTGTGCAGTAGGGATGTTGCTATACTAGTTGATGATGCTCTTAAGCCACCACGGGGTTGCAGTCATCGTCCAGCGCGGGCACGGTTGGCCGCCGACAGCCAGAGTTGGTGCCCCCCCCCTCCCTCCATTGTCCAGCAGCTCCTCCAGCTGTTACCCCCAGGGTGGCCGCGGTGGGGCCCTTCCGATCTGCACCGTGCTCGATGGAGGTCGGCTGGGTATGGCATGCCGCTTGGTCGCCTCCTGACGTGGCCGCAGAGAGAGGCGGCGTCGTCTGCGTGCCATGGTGTCGCATGACGTCTCCGGCTCTCGTGTTGTGAGATTGCTTAATCTTTCATGAAGTTGTACCCCACCGTACCCCCGAGTGTCCGGTGCTGGCACCTCTTGTCTGGAGTCGTCTCCTAATCGTTACGTTCATCTGAACATCTGACAAATGTAGCATTTTCTGAAAATTCTGCTTGGATAAGTAAGAATAATGCCTTGGGTATTTTAAGAAAACATAATTTGACCGTATAAACAATCTAAATCCAATACAACACGCATTTTTCAAGTTGCTGTACAGAGCAATTGAGAAAAAAATTATAACCCGTGAATACGAATGCATAGGAAACAAGAAAAAGTGTTCAAATCGGGAGCAGACAAGCACGGTGACTTGTGGGTAGAGGACACCGCTGTTCCCCAGTCCCAGTGGAGTAGCACCCTGGTGGTGACCCATAGCCGACGAGACGAGACCCAAAGCAGATAGCGCACCGGTGAGGAACAGCAGAGGCTGTTGGAGTGAAACCCGTGAACCCCAAAGCCGACACGCTCTCCCGCAACCACCTTAACCGCCAGCTTGTGATAAACAGGGATTGTTCATCCTGACAAAAAGTGTGCTGGGGGCATGTTAACTACCTCGGCTGGTATACAGGAGGTCGTGGGATCGATCCCGACTCCAACACCTGTATATTTGAAGTTTGCATGTTATCCCCGTGGTCACGTGGATTTTTTTTCCAGGTCCTCTGGTTTTTCCCCTCCACATTTAGAAGCACGCGTTTTAGGGTGTTTTGCTGATATGAATTCCCACATGGTAAGCCTCTTGATTGTGGCTATCGCTTGTGGCCAGCTCGCTTCTGAAAAATAACCGATATATCTCCGTGGATCTTACCTGGTAAAATAGAAAAAAAGTTTATTGTTCATTGTTGGACTAAAAGAGCACGCGACAATAGATACAACCTTCATCACAAGTTACATTGGATATTTTAATAAGCAATCTTGAGGTAAAATATATTGCATGTCACATTCGCAGCAAATGACGGCAGAAATAATATGATAAAAATTATTTAAATCTTCATCAACTAAATTTAATGGCAATAAAACAATTCAATTGAACCTTATGGTGGGACCTCGGGGTCCCATAAGCCCCCGGCTCTCGCATAAACTGCGTTGCGACGTCATTGTATGTCTGTTGAAGGCGATCGACACGGCAATCGATTCCTCTCGACAAGCTCTACACGATGCGCTAATCAAAGTTTTCAAGTTTTGTTTCTTCTGCGCATTCGTCCTCGCTGCTGCGCTTGGACATGACAACAGAATGATCCGCGCCAGGCGGGTCGCGGCGTTTATGTGCGCGGTGAGACGGAGTCGCCAAAAATAAATTAGTTAATAACGATTTTGACTTCCATTTATTCGGGACCCCGGGGTCCCGCCATAAGGTTCAATTGACGATCAACTTCCTCCAAATCATCTTGATGTATTTTAGCAGCATAAATGAAGCATTTGTGCTTGGAAATCCATGCTCATTCATAATAACTTACACAAAGGTGTATACACAGCTGACACAAGTACGACTGCTAACCACCGAGTGTGCACTCTTAACTGCGTTGTCTTATATTCTTAGGTTTTTTCGGTAAAGTCATGTAGGTAAAAAGTTAAAATAAATAAAAGTAAAATAAAAATCACGACGTTTCGGAGGCAACACAAGCTTCCGTCTTCAGGTGGAACCGTCACAGCACGATTGCTGTATCAAGTTCCACCTGAAGACGGAAGCTTGTGTTGCCTCCGAAACGTCGTGAATTTTATTTTACTTTTATTAATTTAATTTTTTTTACCTACGTGACTTTACCGAAAAAACCTAAGAATATTAATCCTTGCAGTCACGAAAGCTTCAAATCTAGCATTGTCTTATTGCTGCGTTCGCTACGATGGGTGTGGAACAACAACAACGTTCAGGAAAGCATCATCCCGTCTGCAATGCGCTGTATATATTCACGGTTAAGTGTCACCTGGCTTCTACTTCACTGTCCACTGAGAGTTTAGTTGGGCAGGGGGTGGGGTGGGGGTTGAGGATTATTGTTTGCTGCCCCCCACTGCCAGTGAGATTGTACAATAGTCATATATAGTATTACACAAACACAAACATCGCCCACTGAGTAAGGCACATACATCACACGTGCCTGCATAGCATAGTGGCATAACACAATCTGAATGAGGTTTATTCCGCAAATAATTTATCCTTAACCCTGCGCGAAAACATGCGTGTGAATGTGTTTGTATATGTGGGGAGCGGTGGTGGAGCGGTTAGCGCGCTGCGCTTTGAACCCGGCGACCGGGGTTCGATTCCCACTCAAGGCCAACACCTGTGGCGATTATCTGAACCGGTCCTGGGCCTCCCCTAGGTCGACTCGGCCTCAAATGAGTACCTGGTTCGGTGTGTAAAAACATCGCCACTGGGGAGACAACGGCGGCCGGGCGTGGTGCTGGCCACCCACCCCCTCGTGTACCGTTCTAGCCTTCTTAGGTGTTCGCTGACGGCACTTGCCCCAACAGTCTGTTAAGGCTATACGGGCATCTTTGTTATTTGTTTGTGTGCACACGTGCCACGCGGTTAGCCGTGTGCTTTACAACAATCAGTGTCTTTGTCTAAATATGGTTAAGACATTTACCAATGTACGGGTGATCCATTTACAGACACCCCAATAAAACAAGAGTGATAATTATGACGGTAAAAATAACTGAATGCGTAGCAATAGTCGTTTAGACCACCGACTCAAATAGTTGACAAAATATGACCATTCCAACACTTTTGAGCTAGTCATCTGGATAACGCTTGGAGCGTTTGTACGTGCAACGCACACCTCTGTGCTTTATTAAATACATTTATTTACAGCCTACATTAATATTTCTCGTGATAGGTTTTTCTTGTCATTTGCATATTTGAATTACATTGTGAGCTGTCGAATGGCACTGCACACTTCAAGTAATTACAGTGCATTCTGCTGAGCTTTTCGTTGCAGTGTACTTATGTGCTCCCAGCCTTCACCAACATGTACTGACCAGCGTGGAGAAGTATGGTCAAATAACCACAAAAACCCGCACTGTGTGGCAAGGCCCTCATCCAGCAGTGGACTGAAAAAGGGCCGCCACGTGATTATGATTATATTATGCCGTCCTTGAAAAACATCCTTGGCGTCTGAGGTTGCTCTGGAAAACTAAAACCTTAACCACTGGTCGCAGAGCTGCAACATCATCGGCAGGATTGATGGGGCACACACCATGTGATCTACGTCATCACAATATGAACACCGAACTCGTGCATAGTTGGAACAATAATTGCGACCCGCATAGTGAATAAGATGCCCACACAATTACAATTCAACCTACCCTCAAAGGTAAAGGGACAATTCAATTAACCGAGAATCTCACATACCCGAGCAAAGTTTTTGGTGCCTTGTGTTTAACATTCAGACAAGGAGGCAGATGCCAGAAAAATCAGCCCTTGCTGGACTCTAAGGGTTGTGCATCCGTAAATAAATGTCTTTACCGCTATGAAGAGTTTACATTTTTTTTAAATGCGTTAAAGGAAGACGCGACCTATAAATAAACATTGTGTGATGTTTTTTTTTATTAATTAAAACTACGTTTATCAGTGGCAAAGCGGAACTTTACAAGTGCTCGTGTAAAATTCATTTCAGGTCACCTTGGGGCCCTCACCCAATTGGCTCCTTGAACCTTCCCGCTGCGCGTCATGATGCAGCTTCAGCACGGGGTCTTCCATCTCGTTGTTAACGTTACGGCCATCAAAAAGCAGCAACGTCACCATAGTATGCCGTGTCACATGCCCATGACGTCCAGTTCCTTCTTCTCACGAGTGAAGCTTTACACTCGTGACACGGCCTCGGTGTGCATCTACAACATAATAAATTAAACTTTTCTTTGCGTCTTCCTTCAAGCTCATTCAAGTTACTTATTTATTCACAAGGGGAAGATAAAATCGCACTGATAAACCACAGCAGACCCTCCTCGTCATCTGCTCCAGGCTCATTTATCACACGAGTTGTACAAAGCTAAGCCTCGTTTCCTCACCGGGGCGAGGGTCTGTGCCCACAGTCGTCATTGGTCATACTCCGAAGGTATGCTGCGCACGAAGTAACGATGATGATCACCGTTTCAAACAATGCTCGGCTCCAATGTGTGCCCGTGTTCACCAAACGACACTGGACGGTGGGGAGGGAGGGGGAAGCGTCTCTATTACGGAAGTGCCGCTTGGTCCTGGAAATGAGTGAGCCGTAGCCCGCCAGCTCACCCCGCCAGCTCACCCCGAGACCGCACTGGCCCACCCCGTCACCCGCGATCAGAGGGCGAAGGCGAGGTCCTGCCCATTGGCGCTCCGCATGTGCACGTCGCCCAGCTCCGGCAGCGTGGCCTGCAGCCGCTCGACGGCCTCCAGCGTGACGCGGCCGCACCGCGACACGTCCAGCGAGCGCAGCCACGGGCAGCTCGCGGCCAGGGCGTCCAGGACGCTGTGGGGGGCAGGAGGGGGGGCACGCGCACCGGCGCGATTCGTCGCACTTATTCCAACAGCGATGCTACCGCGGTGCGACGGTGAAGCACGGTGGGCTGGATACAACTCCTGAGTGGCTCCGGCGAGATTTGGATGAAGCAATACATCCTAGATTGTCGACTGAACCGAAATTGCTTGAAGCTGCTCAGTGCAATGTCAGAGTCTGCAATAGACAATGTAAGCCACGTTTCATAGTTGGAGACAGTCTGGGAAATGTATAATTTAAAGGCATGAAACCTTGGCCTGACGGTCCATATATTACGATTAAAAAAACCTTTACATCTTCTTGGTTCTTTCGGTAAAGTCACGTAGAAGGAAAATATAAAAATAATAAAAATTAAACTTAATAAAATAATTCTCACGACGTTTTGGCCACAACGCAAGCAAGGACGGCTGCTTGCGTTGTGGCCGAAACGTCGTGATAATTATTTTATTATGTTTTATTTTTATTATTTTATTATTTTCCTTCTACGTGACTTTACCGAAAGAACCAAGAAGATGAATCCCTGCAGTCACGAAAGCTTTAAATCGAAAAAAACCTTTACAGTTCGTGAAAATTTGACTGTATAGGCAGCATTCTGTACGATACACCCAGCACAGTTCATGGCGATGAGACGAGCTGTGGAAGCAGTACTGAAAGTAGGTTGTTGTTGACTTATTTGCGTGGAGGTTTGAATGTTAGCCTCTCCTTTGACTTGGTTTTAAGAGGTAATTTCCTTTCACCCCACATGGAAACACTCAATTAGTTACATGTTTCAAGTCAGATCCTCTTATAGAATTGTCTTGAGACTCCCAGACACTTTAATTCACTAACAATGGCATGATTACAAGCTTCGGTAATGCCGCAGTGGATCTGGCCGTGTGGTGCTACAGAAAAGCGCTCAACTCTGAATAGGGAAGATGCGAATTCAAATCTCGTTTGGGGGTTGACCGCTAATCATTTAACCACAGATAAAAATTGTACCACTTTGTGGGAAGTGAGGGGCTAGTCCAAGGGGTCGGCAAACAAAACAACGAGCCATTTTTTTCAAATTCAGTCCAAAACTCAATATTTCAAGAGCCGCAAGGCATGTGAATATGAGATCGTCCATAATAAATAACGTCACAAAACAGTCCTTAGTCGGCAGCCTTAGCAGGTTGCCGACCCCCGGACTCGCCTCTGCAACCAGATTGTAGCGTTGCTCGATTGTGCAGTGGCAAAGAAATACGAGCCGGCTCGTGTGAATGCGCGGGTTAACCCTGGAAGCTCGTGTGAACGCGCGGGTTAATCCTGGAAGCTCGTGTGAACGCGCGGGTGCGGAGTCGCGAGGATACCTGTCGGAGAGCTGCTCACAGCGGGACAGGTCGAGGTGACGCAGCCGGCGGAGCAGCGGGGCGGCCGCTGCCAGGCCCCCGTCGCTCAGGCGATAGCAGCCGGCGAGCGACAGGCGCTCAAGGGAGGGGCAGCCGCGGCTCAGCGCCAGCAGCGCCGCGTCAGACAGCTCGCACAGGTGGGACACGTGCAGGCAGCGCAGCTCTGGGAACCGCAGCACCTGCGCACGCCCCCGCCACACACGCCACGCGCGTCACCAGCGCAGTTGCGCCCGCGCTCAACTCATTTGGTCCAACACCATGTGAGACTAGGCTCTCAGGAAAGCTGTCTCGGGTGTGGACCAATCAATTTCAAGGACAGTGCAAATATTATCAGAGTTATGTTTTTGTTTGCATTATGGCTGTAGGTATTGTGGTCTATGCAAACATGACTCCTTGTAAAAGATAGACGGGTAAAAAAACAATTGTCGGGCCCAAACTTGTTTCTATAAAATATTTTTTTATTTTACAAGGTTAAGGACCGCTGAGCTCTATGGCTCTTTTTCAGAAGCAACCCGGCTACCACTTATGACAGCTCGACGAAGTGGCGTGTCACGTGGAAATGTATAGCAACTAAATACTCTAAACGCACGTTGATTCTCAAGGTGTGTATGTTGAATTATTTCGCACCGTACGTGGCCAACCGTGCTAATCGGAGGTGCGGGGGAAGTTCAAACAAGTGTGCAGGGAAAAACCGGAGCTACCCAGAGAAAAATCCACACGATCGAACCCACGACCTCCTGCATACCAGACGAGGGAGAGTTAACATCTCGCCACCGTGGCAGAATCAAGATGAAGATCAAGGTTGCCGCCACGGGAAAAGCCGTGGATTGCCGCCACACCGCGAAATGCAAACCAACAACGAGCTACGTTTTGTTGTAGCTACGCGTGGAGGCGACGCGCTGCGGTCTGTGCAACCTCGGTTTGAAGCTTTCTTCACGAATGACGCGGAGCGCCAACGACATCACTCCCACACATTGCAATTAGGCATGTGAAGAAGGTTCACCTCCTAATCCGGGAATGTGGTGAATTTTAAAGTCCCCGTTAGGGGTAAAGAATCAAATATTATTAAATGCAGTGTCGTTTAATCTTTTTTTTCTGCCACGTTTATAATCTTAGCACCAAAAGGTATATTCACATGATTTGTATATTCAACTATCAATACTTATTCGCACCATTTGATGCACGTATCACGAGTGCACCGTTCATTTGTGGTGGAATAAATCAAGGAAGCGTTACGTGGCAGTTTTAACACAACACCCATGTGGCGATGACGAGCACCTGAAGGTAATGTTAAACGATTTTTTCTCTCATTACCTGAGCTTCACACTTACCAGCCTAGCTACATATCTACAAGAGACACCTGTCAACAAGAGAAATCTGTCTCTTGTTTGGTGGTCATCTGTTTCGGCTTGTCATAGAAGTGGCCAAACAAGGTCAGGCGGACCCGCCTGATGTCAAGCTCTCTTCATTTGATTAGAAAGTCTTCCACTCTTTCACAGAAAGCAAAGCTCACGTTGCAACGCGTCGTGCTGACCGAGTGACTGGCAATCGTGGACTGCACGAGTTGCTGGAAAGAATATTCTTAGGATTGTTTCGGTAAAGACACGTAGGTAAAAAATTAAAATTAATAAAAGTAAAATAAAAATAAAATAAAAATCACGACGTTTCGGAGGCAACACAAGCTTCCGTCTTCAGGTGGAACCGTCACAGCACGATAGCTGTATCAAGTGAGAGGAAGCTTGTGTTGCCTCTGAAACGTCATGATTTTAATTTTATTTTTATTTAACTTTCATTAATTTTTTACCTGCTGGAGAGAAGCCCGTCACTCCATCCCGTCGCCCGCCGAGTTGACGACGACGCCGCCGCCGCCACCGCCGTCGTCGTCGCTCGCGGGTTAACGCGTTGGTCGCCCCAAATTTGACCCCGGCTCGATCACAACCTTCGGTCTGCGGGGCGGCGAGTCGCTCACCTGCGTGAGGCTGGCGTCCGTGAGCCGGAAGCAGTTGGCGAGGTCGAGTTCGGCGAGCTGGGAGAGGGCGCTCAGCCGGGGCCCCACCTCGCTCGCCTCCACCTCCGCCGGCAACGGCGGCGCCAAACCTTCCGGCCACACGGGCGGCGGAGAGAAGAAGCCGATGTTGCCAAACGAGCGGCTGAACTTGGGCCCGGACGAACTCTGCCAACGGTCACACGCACAGGGCGGCGCTCATCAGCCGACGGTGACCAGTGCCAGTGCTGACCGAGGGCAAACAAAAGGCAAAAATCCCCCGTACAGCCTACATGGGCTGTTGGGGCAAGTGGTTTTAGCAAGCAGCTATGATGGCCGGCACGGTATACGAGGGTGTGGGTAACCAGCACTGCACCCCGCCACCTTCGTCTCCCTGGTGGCGATGTTTACACACCACATCAGGTACTCATTTGAGGCAGAGTCAACCTAGGGGAGACCCAGAACCGGTTCAGATAATCGTCACTGGTGGCCGTGAGCGGGAATCGAACTCGGGTCGCCAGGTTCAAAGCGCAGCGCCCGAACCGCTACATTACCACTCCCCACACCCGCTAGATAGAGGGGCTGATACGGATGGTACAAGGGCCTATGGAAATAAGACATCAGATTGATCTAGAAGGCAATAAGCGACCTTAATGAAGCTGTATTGTGTTGGTACTTGGTTCCCGTGAAGTGCGACGTGAATTTTAAGAAAAAGTTTCGTCTCGCACCTCGAGCCACTCGTACGCACGTAGCGCACGCTGATCACCACTAAACCACTTTTTGAGACGCTACGAGAGGCTAAAAGTGGTTGTCCTATAGACAGAGTGATCTCATACAGTGATGGGAATCTTACCCATGTAATACAGTGGCTTGGGTCAACCAACAGATGAGCTTCGCCCAACACTCATTCAAACAGGAAAGACACCACCTTTGGACCAATTCACGAAGTGTAAAATGTCACTTGATTTGACAAAAACAAGCGGACATATCTATTATGGAGACTATGGGCAATTACTCATGAAAGTGCAACATTTCACTGAATGTGGCACTTTGACCTTTGACATAAACAGCAGCAGCAGTGGTTATGCATGTATGTTAAACTTCTTTCGCACCGTAAGGAGCCAACCGTGTTAATGGGAGGTGCGGGGGGGGAAATAACAACCTAAACACAAAAAAGCTGTTCTTAAAGAAATTAGTTTTCAATCTCGAGTGCCAGTCCACAGTGCGAGAGGGCTACCGTGTGGCTGCTGGGCAACAACGGCTGTAAGCAGGGCTTCTCTATGCCCAGCAGGCCCCAGTCGGTGAGCTCGCGGCACCAGGCAAGACGCAGCACCCGCAGGGTAGCCAGGCTCGTGCTGATGGCGCGCACGCTGGCGTCCGTGACGGCCACGCACGACGAGAGGTCCAGCTCCCGCAAAGACGCACCCAGCGCAACCGCCAGTGACACCACGCTCGAGGCCTGCGTGCGGGACACACGGTGGCACGTGACATGCACGCAGGACACACGGTGGCACGTGAGATACACACGGGAATGGATATGGAACGCACAGGATGCAAGGGACAAACCACGCAGATATTTGCACTAAACCCCACTCTCACATTGAAGACTGTTTTGAAGTTTTTGAAATTAGATTTCAATTTGCCAAAATTTTCAATCCTACGACACGTACATGTGCACAACAATGCATCTGAAAACATTGTAAATGAAGACAGACTTGGATGACTTGTACAATTTTCAGTGCTGAGGGAATGCCATGATGGAGTAGAAATAACTAAGTTACTGTGCTTGTGAGAATCAAGACACTTGGACAGGTGGGTATGGCCAATCAGGCAGGGGAAAACAGGAAAGCCTTAATGTGGGAGTTATAGAGCAGGATGGGGTGAGGCAGGTAGACAGCTATGATGAGATTCAGAATGTAGAGACAGCAGCAGACGGGGACCAATCTGCCACTCAAGTGGAGGGAGACCGTGTGATTTGACAGGGGACACGGTTGCTGGAGCAGAGGGCATAAAGAGGGGCAACTAGATTCAGCAAAGCCTTTAGCACTCAAAATGGATTTTAAGGTCGCATTTCTGTAGAACGGTTGGCTACGTACGGTCCAAAATAAGTTCAACATGCATACATACGAAGAAGAGGACATCGTGAACGGTGTCGTACTGTGATATTGCAGTAGCGCAGGCTCAGCTCCTGCAGCGGCGCGAACGCCATTCCTTGTTCTCCTTCAACCTCTGCCCTGAGCGGAGGCCTTTCCCCCACCATCACGCTCGCTCCGTCCCGATTGCAACTGCCTTTGTCCCACAGGCCCTTGCCCGTCAGCTGGTGGCACTCCGGCACGGAGAGGGCTGTGAGGCAAGGCAGGCAGGCTAGGCCGGACAGGCCCGCGTCTGTCAGGTGGCGTAGGTGGCCCATCCCGAGACGACGGAGGCCAGGAAGGCCCAGCGACACGGCCAGGGCTGCTTTATCCGTGAGCAGCACGCACCCGCTCACGTCCAGCACCTCGAGGAACGGCTGAGCAGTTACAATGGCCTGCAGAGACACGCATGTGCACCGAGAAACTGACTCGGGCCTAGAGTTACCACCTGTCCTGGTTTTTGCCAGGATTAGCCTCTTCTTGAGGTGACGTGCCTTAATGAAGTCTGATTGAGTAATTGGTGTAAAATATATTGTAAAAGATATGCTAGTACTCATTTTATGGAACTTGGAGAAGGGTGATGGCACAGGTCAAACCCTGACCAGCTTTGGAAATTGCATCATTCCACCTGCGAGCCATACTCTTAAAATTGTGAAGCTAAGATTTGAAAGGCCCAGGCATCAGGCTAAGACGAAGGTAGGTATTTAGACAGGGAGCCCTATTTCTTGATTTGCACGAGGGGCCATGCAAACCACGCTACGCCATTGGTTGGCAGCACTGCCAGGAAATTTAATTCGCATGACTGTAATGCAGCATCTGTGCTCAAACCATCATTGAGAGGTTTGCCCATCAGATACAACAACAACAGCAGCAGCAGCGCCGGTTTTGCTGTTGTTGTTGCACCGGTCACAACTGTGGCCATGCCTGCCTGTCTCGTGCCAGCCACGAGCCAATCCAAGCGCCAGCGCTGACCGCCACCGCCACGCCCTCAGCAACGCCACTGTCGATTACGGCAAACTACCAGAAAGATAAGTGTGACGTTGGCTTCTTGGGAAGGGCTTGGGCTCGAAGGAAATGGCGAACCTGCACCGCGGCGTCCGAGAGATCCTTGCAGTCACGCAGGAGGAAGGAGGTGAGACGCAGCCCAGGGACGCTGACGATGGCGCGAGCCGTCTGCATCGTGAGCCCCAGGCCACTCAGGTCCAGGCCGGTGAGGGTGTCTGCGTGCTGCTGCAGGAACGACAGCAGGTTCCGCAGCAAGAGCATGGCAGTAGAGTCTTGCGGCCTGCCACTTGGAACAGCGTCCTTCTTTCCTGCAATGCAGTAAGGGTGCTGTGATGTCATTGTTCACGATGCAATAAAAGGTGCAGCCCTGCATTGCTTGCTCATGCCACTGCTGGCAGAAGGGCCTTCACGAGAGAAAGCTCTAGAGAGCCCCTCTAGAGTGTATTTGGCCTACTCTTCCATGCTAGCCAGACTTCTTGGAAGATGTGGGAGGACCCACACTTTACTCCACCACACACAACCTGCCGATTGACTAATTGTGGTGTGTCCGTTTATACTTCTGGATTCACAGAGGCTGGAGGATTAATAAACTTGCATTGTTTCAACTGGTGCTCCGGGTAATTGATTGAACCGGTGTGCAAATCAGAACATCAAGAAAGCATTCCTGAAATGATACGATTTGTTCTCTGAAGAAGCTCCCAGAACGTGGAGTGAGACATTGGACCTCATGGCGCAGAACAAAGCAGTACAACCCAAAAACGCACCAGAGAGCTAGATGACCGTTTAGGTTGGTACGCACAAAAAAGGTGCCCGTTTTATCCGCAGTTCGGTCATTCTTCTCATGGCACCTCTCACCATTGTGGCTGCTGTAGGGGTAGAAATCGAAGGTCATGTGGCACCCGGCGAGTGACAGGTGGCTCAGGTGCGGCGTGAGCGACACCAGGCGGTTGAACGTGCTGTCTGAGAGGTAGCGGAGCCCGGCGAGGGACAGCCGCTGCAGGTTCCGTAGACCCGGGCGGGCGAGCTCGCACTCCTCAGGGCGGCCCAACAGCATGCCCGGCATGAAGAGGCCATCGCAGCCCGTGAGGTCGAGGGAAAGCAGCCGCGGGCAGTACTGCAGCACGGCCGGCAAGACCGCCTCCTGCAGCGCCGCTCCACGCAGCGCCAGCTGCTCCAGCGAAGGGCCCAGGCGGCGGGCGGCGAGCTCGAGTGCCTGTTGGGTGGTGGGATTCCTTGGCGTGATATTCGATGTTTAGCTCCACCTGCTGAGAGCTTCTTCTGAAACTGAGTAGGCCATATGTACCGGCATCACGCTCCAAATTTACCAAATGTGCGCTCCGAGTCTCCGGGCATTCAGAATGGAATGCGGGACTCACTACTTCAACATTTCACCATAAAGTGCATTTGACTTGTTTTTGTCTTTTAATTTGTTATTAAAATTTTTAGTACCGCTTTGATTAGGGGTGATATTTCATTTCAAATAAAACCTTAAACCTTTAAAATTGTATAAGCTCCCCACAAATTACTCAACCTGGAGCCACATAGCAATTGCGGCCCCCTATTACGAAACCACTGCAGACTTAAGCCTGTGAAACATACCGCCTTCGCGTTAGCTTCGGGGCGATGAGAAAGGCGTGACTACAAATGTACCCGAGATGGTTAGCCAGCAGCCGTGGCGGGCGGCATCACCTGGCGGGCGGCGTGCGATCCGTCCGTGCAGGTGAGCACCGCACTTATGCTAGCGCGCGACGGCACGCCGCTTGCGCTCCACGCGTCGGCCCAGCCCAGTTCGCCACCGCACCCCACCGCCAGGTTGTACACCACATCCTTCTGGGGTAGAAGAGAGCGACGGGGAAGGAAAGGATTAATTAATCGAGTAAAATGTGTTCTCGTGCTCATGGTACATGCCGTTGATTAGTGCGTCAGTAATCTGTAATCAAAGAAATGTATACAAAAAAATGTGGTTAGTCGTCGTGATGACATCTCATCCGACAACCGTAGATGACATCCCTGCCGAAATGCTAAACAAATATTCATGATATTGGCCATCCTGATAAAAACATATCTGTACAGCTTTCTGCAATATTTTGCTGTCTTTTCTTGGATTTTCTGTTTGCACATAGTCACTTTAAGATGTTTTCTTGTTCAGGTTTTTGTTTTTTGTTTGTTGCGGTTGCACCCGATTCAAGAGCTAAATGGCTTGCAGGGCTATACCTAATAAATGAACTTGAACTTGAAATAACACATTATACTCAGTGTAAATGTGTATCTCTGTTAATGCAACTTTTGCAATTGCTGGGGGTTTGAACGATATATTGTACACAGACATAAGTAAATGTACAGCCCTTTTATAAATCCACTGGTGGATAAGTCTTTCGCCACACAACGCAGGTCGTGGGGGTTATTTGGCCAAACATCATCATGCTGGGCAGTGAGAGATGGTGAAGGCAGTGCGCATAGAGCATAGAATTGCAACAATACAATTGATTTTGCTGAAATGGTATCTGCTCCCCATCACAAAACCTGGATAGCCAAGCAAAATCCACTCTCAGTGCTGCTCAGCTTCTGAGATTTTTACGCGTTTGGGCGCATTCTGTGTGATTGGTCATCGGCGTGGGGCGGATCGTTACATGTCTACAAAAGACAATAATTGTACAACAGCAAACTGAGTCTTCACCCATCAGTGTGGGCCCTAGTGGCTCAGTGTGAGATGGTACCTGTAGCGTGTGGTCCAAGGAGGACTGGTACCAAGCCTTGTTCACCAGCGATGCCTCTCGCCTCTCTGCCACCGACAGAAGGCTCATGATCCGAGTTATCACCTGTGAGAGTTGTACATCATGCAATTCTCAATGTACATTATGGTGACAGGAACTGAATTGTACTGAGATCTGCTTCCGGTATTGTATTGAAATTTATTACAGTAAACTGCGCAGTTTTTCGAGGCCTAGGTTGTCGGAGAAATACTGAGCGTCAAGGTTTGTGTAAGATACAAACTTCATACATGTGTAATAAAAGACTCGGACGCTTCTCTCTGACTCCGTGTCCTTTATTTGGGTTCTTGTCTTTTCCCTCACGGCACTCTCTTAGAGACACTCTGCTTGCAGCCCCCGGCTGCTATCACTATTGTAGCCTCCTTCCTCTCCTTGCAGACTCGCTGCTAACTCCGTGTGCAGACCCCCGCTGCTAACTCCGTATGCAGACTCGCTGCCAACTCCGTATGCAGACCCCCGCTGCCAACTCCGTATGCAGACCCCCGCTGCCAGCTGCAGCCTCCTCGCTGCTCCGGGTCGGTCACCGTTGGCCGATGGTGCCGAACCTTGTTCCCCGTGTCCGTGGCGATCTCGCCACCCTCCACTGTCGCCCTACGTGGCCTCACTCGTTCCTAGTCTCCCGTCACTCCCCCTCCTCTTCCGGTTTCTCTCCCTCTATAGACCTGACCCCTCTCTCCCACGTGACTTAACTCCTCCCCTCATGACGTCACCTCCGGGAGGTCGTTTACGCCCGCATTACACCACCCTCCCCCGTAGAGAAAATCCAGCCGACCTCGGCTGAACTACAACTTAACAAGTAATGCGGGTGTAAAAGACCAATACGTTAAAGGACACGAAGCATACAACAACAATATAACAAGAACACAACACAAAGTTAACGAAATGTGAGGGATTTCGAGCGAGTACGGGTAGCCGGGCCGTCCCGGACGGTCGGCAGCCCACCCGCCGAGCGGGAACGTGGCAGGGTTTTAAGGGCGACAGGAGCAAGTTCGTCCGTCGCCATTGGAGGCCTGCCACCGTCCCGGTCCCGTTCAGAGGCGTCCCGTAATCGTGTCCGTGGCGGGGTAGGAAGGGCTGCAGGTCCTGTAGATTCCGCGGCCCTGGTCGGAATCCCGCGAGCGGAACGTCCTCCCTCCTGCGGCGTCACGGCCGGCTTGTCTGTAAGGGGTACGACAGGCGCTCTTGCAAGGTCAGCAGGCACAGGCAAGGGCGAGTCGGCAGCAACAGACCCCGGCAAGGCAACCTCAGGAGATGACGCATCAGGTCGCGGGGCAACGTATGGCTTCAACCGAGATGTATGGACGAACCAGCGCCGCGAACCAACCCGAACACGCGCCGACTGTGGGTTGGGAACCTCGATGAGGCGGACCGGTCCTTGCCATGGTTTATGTAATTTAGGAGAGGTACCTGGCCGCACCTGTGGGCAATGAAGCCAGGCCAGGTCCCCCGTTTTCCAGGGGCACTCCCCCTTTGAACGTCGAGCACACCGCTCGTTCCGGGCCTGGGCTTTGGCCGTAGCCATGCGGGCTCCTTCCCTCGCCTCAGTGACACGGCGAACGTTATCCTGAATATAATCAGGAAGAGGTTTAGCAGGTCCCCTCGCTCCGGTTCCCAACTGCTCATTAATCGGCGGCACGTTTTCACGGCCGTACATGAGAAAGAACGGCGAATATCCAGTAGCCGCGTGCGGCGTCATGCGATACGCCGAAAGCACCCCAGGGATATGCAAATCCCAATCTGATTGTTTTTCACTGACCGTGTGACACAGCATGGCGGACAGGGTCCGATTTAACCGTTCCACCATACCATCCGTTTGTGGGTGGTAGGGGGATGTCCGTATCTTTTTAGTTCCAAGAGCCGCACACACCTCCCCCAACAATTTAGACGAAAAATTCCGGCCTTGGTCTGTAAGGAGCCTCTCCGGCGCCCCCTTGTCCATAACATACCCAAATAGAAAGGCGTCTGTGATAGACGCCGCTGACTGGTCAGGCAAAGGCCAGGCCATCGGCCAGCGGGAGAGGTACTCCACCCCCACTAGCAAATACTTATTTCCCCTAGCGGATGGCGGAAAGGGTCCCAAAATATCTAACGCCACCAATTCATTAACTCGAGATACCTGAATAGATTGTATCGGCGGCACATATGGATGTTTAGGTGGCTTCCGGCGGGCACAATCGGGACACACGCGAACGTGACCGACGACATCTGTCGTCATGCCGTGCCAATAGTAATCTCGCTGCAGCGTCAATAGGGTCTTCTGCACCCCCAGATGTAAAAGTGTGTCACAATGCAGAGTCCTAATCAATTCGTACCGCAATGATGCCGGGACAACAAGACGCCAGCGTTCCTGTATCCCTTCCCTCCACATCAGCAACCCATCTCGGAGAGCGGTTTCCGGTACACCACCCGCACCGAGTCCCCTATTTGACTTCTCCGGTCGCTTTCGTAACGTTACCAAGGAATCATCCAACATTTTCTCCCGAATCCACACAGACCTCGGGAGACGCAAAATCCCATCAGCCGGTCCCCCATCAACCGGTCCCGGCTTAAGCGGAGCTTCAGGCACATCAACCGCCAGCGCGACAGGCTGAGGGGGAAGCTGAATCGGTCCACACCTATGCGTCCCCGACGCACACGCGCAAGGGGATTGTTGCGGCAACCTGGAAAGTGCGTCCGCATTAGCGTGACGCACACCCTTCCGATGGTGAATTTGGAAGGAAAATTCTTGCAGCGTGTCCAGCCACCTTGCCAATTGTCCGGATGGCTGGTCCATCTTAAGAGCATACTGCAAGGCTGCATGGTCCGTGCGGACAATAAACGAACGACCGTACAGATACGGTCGAAATTGGCGGAGAAAAAAAACAATGGCCAAAAGTTCCCTGCGAGTGACGCAGTAGCGGGTTTCCGCGGGAGACAAAACCCGACTACCATACGCCACCACGCGTTCAACTCCACCTTTTGACTGAGACAACACCGCCCCAATACCAGTGTCACTCGCATCCGTATCCAGAATGAAGGGATGTTCAAAATCCGGATAATCCAACGTCGGTGCTGTAGCCAATAGATCGCGCAGGCTTCGAAACGCCGCCTCCTCCGGCGGTCCCCAAGCAAATTTGTGTCCTTTCCCCGTAAGGAGATGCAAAGGCCTCGCGATCGTAGCAAAATTTGGAACAAACCTCCGATAATAAGAGGCGAACCCCAAAAACCGACGCACCTCACCCACCGTGGCCGGGGTTGGCCAATCACGGACACACGCTGTTTTCTCCGGATCTGTGGCCACCCCGTCCGCACTAACAATATGCCCCAAGTATCGAACGGAGTGTTGCAGTAGGTGACATTTCTTTGGCTTGAATTTCAAATTAGCAGAACGCATTCTGGTGAATACAGCCTCCAACCGCAGTAAATGCTCATCAAATGTGCGGCTGAAGACGATAATATCGTCTAAATATATCAGACATGTCTCCCACTGCAAACCCGTTAATACCAACTCCATCAACCTCTGAAAAGTGGCAGGGGCCGCATTCAACCCCATCGGAAGACAGTTAAATTGGAATAACCCCTGCGGCGTACGGAAAGCAGTCTTTTCTCGCGAGGGCTCGTCAAGGGGGAGCTGCCAGAAGCCCGAAGAGAGATCTAGCGTTGAAAAGAACTTGGCCCCCGACAAGGCGTCGAGAGAATCGTCCATACGCGGCAGGGGATACGCATCTGCTACCGACACTTTATTCAACTTACGAAAATCGACACAAAATCGCAATTTGCCATCCTTCTTTTTAACCAACACAACAGGCGCGCCCCATGGGCTGTTAGACGGAGATATTATGTCCGCTTTCAACATGTATTCTACTGCCCCTCGAACATGCTCTCGCTCAGCCGGACTCATCCGACGTGAGTTTAAGCGAATAGGGGCAGCGTCCCCTGTGTCGATATGATGATAAAGCAGCGAGGTGCGTCCCAAGTCCAAATCGTCGGAGCTAAACACATCCGAATAACTCGATAATAATTTATGAATTGCACAACGCTGTTCGCCGGAAAGGGCTGAATTCTCCCCACACAATTCAGCGATCCAACGATCATCCACCGCTCCATCGTGTGAAACACCACCAACCAGCCCCCCGCTGGGCAGATCACTCTGAGCCGTAAACGCCGTAGTGGCATGTGCCACAACGGTACCAGCCGGCACACACACGCTTTCAGTACTCGCGTTAAGCACCTGCAAAAACGGCCGCTGATCTGGCCGGACAATAGTTTGCACCCCCACCAGCGCCGATCCGCCCGTAATAGCGGCGGACGGCGACAGCAAAACCCCAAAAGCTCCCTGCCGACCAGGCACCGGCTTCCGATATCGTAAGGGAATGAGCATCTGCGAGCCAGGTGGAATATCAACAGAAACTTCCGATAACGCCTGCACCTGGGCGACAGGAGCAGGTCGCCCCCAGGCGGACGGTAAAAATGCCATTTTACGGCCCCCTGGTAATTCAATGCAGTTTTCATTGATTTGAATAAGAATGGGCATTTTGGCCAAAAAATCAGTACCCAACAGGCAAGGAACCACAAGGGACCTCGAAATTAACACAATTCCCGAGGCCGACACTCCCCCGATAGATATGTTAGCGTCCACCTGGCCCACGATGCCCATGCTACCCCCGTTCGCAGCGACGCAGGAAGCGTAAGCCGGCCTCACGGCCCCCGGTGGGATGTTCAAAAGGTGGAATATCACGTCCGAAATGATGGTCGCGGACGCACCGGAATCCACCAAAATACGTACGTCCACCCCTTGGATCGACCCGGGTACAGTGGACGAACCGGTAGCGGCCGCGACAACCCGCCGAGCCAACTTGCGCCACTGCGTTACCGAGCGACAAGGCGCAGATAATGGCCTCCCGTATTTAACAACATCCGCGTCGCACAACAACGGCGATGAGTGAGGTGTCAGGCCTTGCCGGGTGTCTGGTGCGCACCGACTTGCCTGTGCTGTAGAATCTTTCTTGGGAGCGTCCGCTGTCGAGGCCTCCTGCTGGGGCGGACCCGGAACGCGGGCCCAGCAGTCC